CTTGCCTAACTACCGCAGCATACACTCGATCTTTCACAGACAGCCGGATGACGAGACGGCGCCAAAATTGTCTCAATTTGGCAAATGTCAATCGAGCCTTCTGTTTATGTGCCGATACTTCATCCACTATGCATCCACCGGATGAGATGTAACTGCGAAGTTTGTATACTTCCTCTATTATTTCTCCAGTTAGAGTGACGTTGGGAGCCGAACCAACCTAGTCCTGTAGCAACTTTTCACACTTTGAAGGTACCGAACGCATATCGAACATAGCTACGCTAGCATTCAAACTATCCAGAAAAGTTCGCAACTTACCTGGATCTTTACTATGCAATACCGTACATATATTTGATTGATTGATGAAATTTGTTTCATCAAACAGATTTTACTCTCATAGTTTCACAGTCTGTGACGATGTACATTTTGCAAGCTAACTGCAATTTTCCAATGTTTTTGTATCAGTTCAAAAAACTCATTGTGAATGAAATTTATATTAATCGAGTCCTTTTGATGTGCCACATTTTTCCTCCAGAAATCCCCATTCCATCATACGAATCGATATAGCGGCTTCCGGATTCTTATACCATCAAATTCGGTGCATTGTGTCTATTTTGGTGATGGTTGGTCGCGGTTTGGAATCCCCTCAGGTGAGACAGTATAGTTGAAGTCTCTCCTTGCATAAAAATCCACCTGTTACACGTGTCGTTACTTCTTACGCGAGGCGACAATGGTTCATGCTTCATTTGCCGTTTACACGACAAAATTCACTATGTAATTGAACAAAATCCTCCATTTGGAATGTTCCCAACCGATTCATAACCCCGGAGGCTAATGCTAAGGTGAGAAATGCTTGATACGCGCAACAAGCTTGACATAATGCCGTATCGTGTATAAGGAAAACGAAAGACGGTCTGATCAGATGCCCTTTGTTCGAGTGGGTAGTATGATTGCGTTCTATTTGAGAGGTCCCGGGTTCGATCCCCTGTTGGATCGATGGGTTCACATTGCTGATGAAACCCAACCAGTTCGAAACAGTTGTCCAGTGCTTCCCATGCTTCATTTGCTCTTTGCACGATGAACTTTACAGAGAAGTTTCATGAGTCACGCCGAAGCACCCTGTCATTCAGTGAAGATACATAAAAAATAAAATGTTAGGACAGAAGACCGAAGATGAACAATTAGTTTCAATTGTTTCATAATCGTGTCTGTATAAGTCATATAAGGGTTTGTTGCTAGTGGGGACATTTCCACGCTGGGTCGAAAAGTAATTCGGGATGGGGAGTCCTATGTGTCTGTTCTTGGGTGAAATCGATTGTGATTGGTGTCTTATGTTGGAGGTCATGCTTCTGATCAGTTTGGGGCTACGGTAAGTGGAGGGCTTGAACCCTTCGCTTTTGTGCACATAGTTCTGGTGCGAAAAGTCGAACGACTATCACCTCAGCGGTGGCTAGTGTGTTAGCGCACTGCTTTAGCGGGGTTGGGCTGAACGCACATTCTGGTATAATGACCGGTATCCACTAGATAATGACCAGGAATGGCGTTTCCTATGCTCCTTGTGCTTCTTTGTCCTAACCAGCATGTTCATTCATCCCTGGGGCAAGTTGCCTCACCGTGCGGCCAATGTACAAATTTCACCAGGAGTGAATAACCACAGAGTTGACGTCATAGAAAGCCTATATTTGTGACTGGTTTGGATGATGGGTGAGCCTGTGAACATACGAAAATCAAGCTGCGTTATAGGTCTACGTCACCGCACTTGTCAGAAGTTTGTTCCAGAGGTCAGATCTCGCATCTCCTTGAAAAGGTAGATGAATGGGCAATTTCTTCTTCTGAGCCTCCTGAATCTGTTCAAATGAATCGTTTTCTGTGAGAACGTTCCTAATTTTGTTCATTTTTCATCTAATACATTGTCGGAACAGATCTTGCGCACTTGCGATGCGAACCTCTCGCTCAGATTTCTTATCTGTCTGGGTGGGACGAAGCTTTTAAAGTTCGTATATTGTCCTGTCCAAGTTAGTTTCCTATGTATTCGACGCTCTAAGGAACTGTCATCTTTTCGGAGAAGTGGCACGTCCAAGATGGCCAGTTTGTTGGTTTCTTCTGTTTCCAACGTGAATCGAATTGATTTGTGAACGTCACTGAAAAAAATGCTCCCCCCAAATACGTTAATTCACTCCTGCCAGAACTTGATTACTTTCAAATCCACTGGTAGGAAAATGTATCATAGCTGCGCTAAGTTTGCGCACAGCAAGACGATCAGCTGTCTTAATCTTTAAATCCAGGCGTGGACTTAGGTGCGCGAACTAGTATTATATCAATCAAATATATTTGTTTTTAGTGCTCAAAGGTTCAAAATTCCCCCTATTTAGATCGATGCGTCTGAAGTATTATGCTTAGAGCATTCAGCCGCTTCGGTGTAAATGAAACTGGCAGTAAGTATATAACGATTTCCAACTCTCCTCTTTGCAGTCGCTCCGTACGAGCGAGCACCTAATCTGGACTTGATCATGCAGAATACCAACTCACTATCCACCTGTCTATTCGAATTTGTTTCAAAGAAATTTGCTGTGTTTCTAGAAAGTGACGGTAAGTTCCTTCCAGGCCTTTGAAAAAATTGAACAAGTACGTTAATTCACGCCTAAAGAGCTTGTTGGCTGACCTGACCTGCAGCGTAAACGTCCGCTGACTCACTTCGACACTAAACCTTTTTTCGGCCTCAATTCTCTCCGTCATTTTTGAGCCATGGAAACTTACACAAACTGACTGGTTACTTTATCGAAATAGGAACAGGCATTTTTGATGCCATGTTCTGGATGTTGTCCAGGGCGTGGCAAACTTGAGTAAACATTAAGGTGCGCTTTTCTAAATCTAACGTTAATAAATCGCTCTGGAAGGGTTCACTTTGTCCAATACTTTCTTGCGTACAGCAATAACCAGTTTAGTTTTGTAAAACTATTTATCTGTTTTCATTCCTAATAAAATTGTACGCCAAGCTCATATGGGCACAGTGAAATTGTGAAGCAATCTCAAACAAGCAGACATCTTCATGTGTGTCCAATTAACTATTTCAGGTCATAGATGAAATGCTGGATCTAACCAAGACCCCTGCTAAACCTCAATATCAAATGGCTGACGGTAAAGCAACGATTGTTTCGAAATAGTGCATAACTCCATTCCGTATTCCGTCAGATCTTCCGCTCTTATTCACCAATGCAACCTATCCGGAAGAATCACTCCACTGGCAAACCAGTCCAGGTTAGTTTGTTCTGTCTCTTTAGATTCATCGTTCTTTGTTCCATGTCCACAGCCGCACAAGCCGATCTGATCAGACATTTTCAACGGTTCTCCGCTGAACACACTATCCGGTAATGCGTGTGACTTGTGTGACTGATGCAATCTCATTTCAGAGCGGTTATGGTGAGAAACATACTGGATCATATTGAAGGTGAGTGTGTTATGCTCTGATCTGATCGTCCACGATCTAATTCATGCAATGGTGTTTTCGGTCGTGCCCGCTTATTCATGTACAAAACTGTGATATGCATCGCTTATTTAAGCCTCGGTGAAACACAATGCCGAAATTTGAGTAATTTACTTGTATTGATTTCTCTATTTGGATGGTCAATGCTTGGATTAGCCCACTCGGTTTTTCGCAGGAACCAGACACTGTTGATGATGTTCGGTGTGGGTTTCACTCCTTGGGAGGACGTCAATTCCCCACTATTTGAATGTATTTAAATGCGATACATAACCGACAAAGAGCACTGGACAGCAGTTTTATTCCTGTTTAGGACTCGTCAGCACTGTTTGCAACTATCCAGTGCTCTTTGTCGGTTATCACAAACATTTCTCCCCCAACTGTTTTTGAGATTTCATCCCGAATAGTGTATTCGGGAGGCACTCATACCCGTAATTCTGATACAAACTATAGTGTGTCCTGTCCTCTAGGATCGATTCGTATAAGTGACTATGACCAATGGGTCTTAGACGATAGAAAATCTTGTGATTGATCTATGGTCTCTAAAACGCTTTGAGTGAACAGCCCCAGAAACTCACCTACTGGTTATTCGTTCCTTGGATCAAAGTTGTACTATCGACCGTCTCGATTCAATTTGCTTCCTGTTACATAATAGGAGGTTTGTCAGCTGGTGAATTGGGCTCCCTACTTGGATTGTTCTTTCGTTTGTGAATGCGTGATGTTCTCTTTTGTCTAGAATGTGGTTTTGCGGTGTACACCAACCGACAATTCGCCAGATTCCCGTTTCCTAGAATTAAAGGCTCTTGACTAGAAATGCATTACACTCACTCCGATTCACCTGTTAACGCGCACTTTATCGGTCTCACAAAAGTAGGACCCAACAACAACAACCCGTGCTCACGGAAGTCGTGGGAGAGACATTCAGGCCCTTTATCATATTACAACAATGGTCTCTTGTGAGGTATGTGACGAACCGGAAAAGTTGGCTGATGTGGAATTGGGTTACCAACCTTAGTAAGAACATCTTGGTATACAAGATGCTAACTCGCGTTTACAATTGTTTTTCTCTCGGTCTCTCATTTTGGCTAGGACTGAAGCCAGACGGTCCGAGTAAATAAAATCTCTGATTTTTTCGGCACAAAATTATCTTCAACAGATTCCATACATTGATGGAAACCGACTTTTCAGCATAGATTGGCTAATTTCCCTCTCCGCTTGTTCACTTGGATGCAAAATTAATTACTATCACTATGAGACTACACCTTGACGTGGCGTGATGGCTTGTGCACCTCTGTGACCCAACGAGCTACACAGGATGGCTTTATAAAGCCAGGAGATCTTATCATGCCTAGAAGATCAATGGGTGGAGGTCAGACGAAGTTCAGTCTCCAGGTTGGGGGTTCGCCTGGAATTTGGCGTATCAGTCGATAAAAAGCGGTGGAGGAGTAATTGTTCCAAGNCACCCGCTGCCTTGCGGTTAGGTTCTTGTTAGAACTAAAGGCTTTGGACGAGAACCCTAATCGTTCTCCTGCTTAGTGGCTGCACACCCTAGCAGTACCCGTCCACCAAACCCCAATGCATACACAAAATAAAAATAATTTCATATTTGGCAGCGGTCAGTGAAGTTCGCTTCACTGTATGCCGCTGTACGGTGATGATGAGAATTAATTAACTTGCAAACTTGTGTACACTAATGAGAGAAAGGCGACGAGAATGATCGTCTTTCGCACTACGATGGACCGAACCCCAGTAACAGGTTTTTCCTGAGAGACATGACAGTAATGATTGTACGACTAGTGTCTTGCCTGACATGATTGTTCGAGCGGTGAGACACGTGACATAAATTTCCCGATCGGTCAATCAAAAGTTGGCAAATAAGCTTGTTTTCGGTGCTTTGTCGGCACATTTTATAATTAGCCGAACCCACGTTAAGAGTAAACATGTTAGTCAAAACATTCCTCTCGAATTGAGATGACGCAACTTTGATAATTGATGTGAGTGACAGATTACGCCACTCGGTTGTGCCACGGAATGGTCATAAAAGTCCGTATGATCCTAATCATGTCTCTGAGCCTATTGAAAATGGACTGTGTGGGTGAATTACAATTGTCTCGGCTGCCGATGAACTTCGGATATCCATCCCGTGACCGTATACAGAGGATGACGTGATTAGACTGGGTCAAATGGTCACCGTTGTGCATCTAGATTATGCTTCTGTCCACAATTATTAACCTTGCGCTTTCATGCTTCGGTTTCGGTGACTGTGTTTTGATCAATACAGAAGGATTAGAAGCTGGGAGCACCACCAAGATAAATACAGAACGCAACCAAATTAAATGTTTAAAGTGGGTAAATGAAAAAACCCACTATCTCAGACACATTCATATTCCCCGACTTCCTTAATCCTTGAATGGGTTGGTCACAGGAACAGATTATGTATTCCGTGTTAATCACGTGTTCGTATCCGGTAAGCCCACCCGTCTGTTCTCTTCAATTTTTCGTATTTACCTGGCACGTACTCAGATAGATAAAACCTGCTTCACTCCACAGTAATACCGACTGCTTTTGAAAAATGAATTGCACCACTAAGAAAACATGCATGTGATAACCATTTTCGTACCCTTGCTATGAATCTGTTGTTTTAGATGTAACTCCTGTTATGGTCAGGAAACACCCTCCGTCTCCGTACACGAGTCACATGTCCATTCGAAATCCCTCCCGCGTAGGTGATATCCAAATAATAATGAATTGGCTAATGTGTTCACGTCTTGGATATGCGATAGAGAAACAATATCACATACGGTTTGATGATCAATGTTGTAAACCATTTTCATTTACCTCGTACATGGAAGTGTACCGCGCTGCAGGTGTGTGATTCTATCCCTCGTGGGAGTTCATGTTGCTGTTCTCTATTTTCTCCGATTCGCTTCTCCTATTCGGGTTGATAGTTTCATGAGTAGTAATGATTACAACGGTCAATTTACGGCATAGTTGTCGACTTGAACAGTTTTTCATGCAAACCTTCTTCTTTTCTCTCAGCTCGTTTTCCCATGCAACCAATGCCCTGCCATCAACTCGATCGGATCGTCCCCGAGTGTCGTTGGCGCGGGAATGATGAGGGAAAGGGAACTCACAAGCCAATCGCAAAACGCCCGGTCGAGCTAACGATTGAGGAAAAGCAGGATCGTGCGAAACGAAAAAAGTGTGATCTCCGAACTGGTGACAATTCGATTGCTTCTGATCAATCGGTTACGGAAACAGCAATTAACAATTAGCAACCCTCCAATTTGCTTTTCCTATAAATGAGTGTGGGGGTAAGCACTAATTCACAAATAGTTTAAGGATAACCGTTGTAATTTACAATGAAGGTCTCGCAGTCATCAATCGGTAACCCCATCTAGTGGACATCTCTGGGTTACACAGCCGGCAGTAACCACTGGCCGAAAATATCGCTTTAAACCACCAGAATACGTCTACGATTGTTCCTCAGATAAACGACACCCAAACAAAGTGGTTTGATAGATAGATGAAACCCTTCATGGCGCCAAAATTTTCTGTCCACCAAACCAATCG